GGGGGGGGGGGAGAGGGATGGGGGGATGAAGCAAGGAACAGGCATGATGAAGTAAGAGGATGAGACAGAGGGCGGAGAGAGAGGGGAGATAAGCGCGATGACGAAGTATGCAGACGGGGCAGGTGGGGGGATAAGGACGATGCTGATAACGGCGAGGAGACGACGGAGGATGATGCGGAGGTCACGGAGGAAGAGGGTAAGGTGATAGGGAGAGGGAGTATGAGGAGGAGGCCCAAAAGGAAGAAATGCAGAGTGTGAGCAGGTAGTGTGCGGGCGGGGAGGGTGGCGTCTATCTCTCTCGCTCTCTCTCTCTCTCTCTCTGTCTCTCTCTCCCTCACTCTCTCTCTCGCTCCCTCTCTCGCTCTCTCCCTCCCTCGCTCGCTCTCTCCCTCCCTCCAGTTATGCCTGTCTCTCTCTCTGTCTCTCTCTCTCTCTCTCTCTCTCTCTTTCAGTCAAGCTCTCCCTCCCTCTCTCTCTCTCTCTCTCTCGCTCGATCTCTCTCGCTCTCTCTCTCTCTCTCTCTTCTCTCTCTCTCTCTATCTCTTTTCTCTGTTGGTTTGTTATCTCTCTCTCTCTCTTTCTTTCTCTCTCTCTCTCTCTCTTTCCCACTCTCCCCTCTCTCCCTCTATATGGATCCCTGTCTTTCTCTCTCCCTCTCTGATCATTTTTCGCGCGGGTAACACGCTCGCAGGGCTTGCGCGGTTCGGTTGGCTCCGCGCGCCCTCGAGGAAGCGAGCCGGAGAACGGCGAGAGAGAGAGAAGGGTAGAAGGAGGGAACGAGACAGAGAGAGAGAGAAACAAAAAACAAAGAGAGAGAGAGAGAGAGAAAAAAAAAAACACAAGGGATACGCACATACATGTTGTCATATGTATGTATGTATATATATATATATATATATGTATGCATACACACATATATATATATATATATGTGTGTATGCATACATATTTTCAGAGAGACGGAGAAAGAGGGAACGAGAGAGAGAGAGAGAGAAAGATACATACAGCAACGGAGAAAGAGAGAGAGAGACGGAGAGAGCGAGAGAGAAAGAGAAAGCAACTAAAGAACATCGAGGCTGTGCACTTGAAGGGAAAATGCATTGACAACAAAAACGGTCAGACGACAACTTGTAGCGCACGCCCAGCGGGTCCGAGACACACGGGCGAACTACGCTGCACGCATATACGATTCTCGAATTCAACAGGCAGGAATGTGATAGAGAGGGACAAGGGCAGGGGGAGGGAGAAAAACGAGTGAAGAGCGAAAATGAAGCATGGATAAGGAGGGGGGGAAGAAAGGATGAACAAGCTGCCCTCTGTTCCGTCCCTTCCACCTCCTGCCCTGGCTCCTCCTCGTTGGTTGCGCACACTGTGCGCGCGACGCCGCCGTTCATTCGCCGCCGTGCCTTGTGCGCGTCGGAACACGTGAAAATACCCATCTGCTGCCTGGCAGCATTTCTTGTTTCATGCTCGGCGAAAGAGGGCGGGAAGAGGTAAACACGGGAGAACCTGTGCTGTTAGGTCACCCGAGAATCGGGCGGCGGGAGGGATTGGCCTGACTCCATTTGTGGATCGAAACAACTGGCCCCGCTACCACTGTGGAGTGTGCTGGGGCGCCTGTATGGAATACAGAGAGACACGAAATCCAAATAATGGGACCCTTGCTGAAAGGGAGAGCACGTTCTCTTCCCTTGTACGGGAGCTCGCGCGTGCCCGCGGCCAGCGCGCCGAGTAACTCAAGGGCCCTGCGGGCCAGAGCATCGGCAGGGCAAGGGATGTGAGACCGAGGCGCAGGAGGAAAGGCTGAATTATGTGTAACACAGCGTCCCAAGAGGGCCCCAAGGGGCAAACAGGACTGATTATCCTGCAAAGTTTGAAGGCTTTTGGCTGTCTCGCATGTTCGGCTTTCCGACGCTCCAAGACAGCCCGCGAGGCCCCCAGGATCGCCCCAGGACGGCCCCAGTGGTCCCCAAGATGGCGCAAGAGGCGCCCAAGGCAGCCCAAGAGGGTCCTAACAAGGCCCCAAGAGGGGGCCCAAATGGGTAACCCGAACGGGTGCATGTCGAGCCCTCGGCGCCGAGGGGCCTCCAGGAGGTCCCAAAAGGCACCAAAAAGCCCCCCAAGAGGCCCCAAGAGGCTCTCAAGAGGCCCCACAGAGGCCCCCAAGAGATCCCAAAACTGCTCCCAAGAGGCCTCCGAGAGCGCCACGAAAAGACCCGAAGACGCATCGCACAAACAACTCCGACCACAACCCAGGCCGAAGGCCATCGGATACACAAGCACAGAGCGATACACAGCCCACACAACGAAGATAACAACTCCCTGAGATCGACAAGCTCGCCCCAAGACGGCCAGCAGGTCCGCCAGGCGGCCCAAAGGTTACCCAGTAAGGCGACCATACACTCGAAGAGGGCCATAGGATGGGCCCAGATTACCTGAAGACGACCAACAAGGCCCCCCTGACGTCCAAGGAGAACGCCCACGAGACCTCCGAGAGCCAACAAACAATGATTCCCCGTCGGTGCTTGCCAGATGTTAACATACGGGCCCAGTGCCCTCCGAAAGTCCAAGGCGGCCCAAAAAACCCCGAAGAATGCTCAACAGCATCTTAAGAGGGCCCCAAGACGGCCCAAAGAAGCTCAAGGCGGTTCAAAATGCCCCCAAGACGGCCCAAGACGCAGTCAAAAAGGCCCAAGAGAGTCCCATGATTGCCCGAAAGGGCTCCAAGAGGACCCCAAGACGGTCCACAGGAGCCCCCAACACGGCCTCCGAGGGCGTCAGACGGGCCATGTGAGCCCTATGACAGTCCACGAGGTCCCCAAGCAGCCCCAAGGAGCCCCAAAGAAAGCCTCCAGGAGACCCCCGACAGGCCCATCTGACGCCTCCAATGGTCGAGGGAACGAGATTGAATTACAGACCCACGCGAGTTGGGACCGCGCTCTGAAATGCAGTGGGTCCTCGACACAACCTCCTTTACGCTGCGCTGCTACGCTGGCACGGAAGCAGAGTTTGCCGCAGGCAGCTGGGTACACGTCAAGAAATGATTACACAAGGGACTTGTGGTTTGCAATATTCGGCGACAAGAAGTGAGGCAGACTGTACAATACAAGGATGAGGATGATGAAGGGATGTCGGGTGTCAGGTCTGTATGTGGTTTCCAACTGTCGTTTCTTGCGACCACCCCGACGCATCAAGACCAAGATGTGATCACATTGGTTTACCAACGTCCATGCCTATTTAGTTTTCCCGGCCCCCCTCAAAAAAACTGCCCTAAAGCACAGCAGGGGGGGGGGAAGGGGGGGGGGGGGGGGTAGTCCAGAGGGGGGCCCCAAACGGCCACAATATCGTTCGGTGTGGCCATGGAGACTCATCGGTTTCTCGCCTTGTCGGCCTCCACTGGGCTTCTGGCCCCAACAGAACCCGAACGAGGAACCGAAGTCACGGAGGGACCATTTGCTCCCAACGAGGCGATACGCATGCTTCCAATCAGGTGCTGGTATTCAGGACCCTCCTTCTTGTTTTGTTCACACCCCTCTGCGAGATAGTAGGGGAAACATGCGGTCGACGCTGTACAGATGCAGATGATGATGCTGCTCCTCCGTTCCTCCAACGTACACCACCCCACGAGCGTGACGGCGCGATAGGAGCCGATTAGAAGGGGCTTATGTGCTCGGCACACAGATGGAAGCACAGACAACATCGGGCATCGTCGAGGGACGCTGGGGTAGCGGATGTCATCCATAACTACCTCCGTCGCGTCTCCTGGACATCACCCACGGATGCGAGACGCCAGCTCGATGTTCAAATATATGAGGCGCTGACCTAAGATGCAAGCGACACGTCTGCCAACGATCAAGCGTTCGCAGGGATCAGTGGCCACGTATGTCATGAGGTCGCGACGGGTCTGCAAGCAGAGACTTGCGGTTGCATGTGCTGCTTCTCCGTAGAACTGTCTCCTCAAAGAGGCCGCCATCCTTAGTCACGAGCACAGCGCTTGGAAGCGCACCTTGGTGCGAGCGGACTGCTTTAGCGCTGCCAGGGAAGACGGGGCCCAACTAAAAACGATGGCAGAATATTCCATCCCGCCGGCCCTTTGGGGCGCAGGTTGCTCCACGAATTGCGTCTTCTCCCCCCGAATTCCCCAGCGCAACCTCCACCTCCACCTCCTCCTCCTCCTCCTCCTCCTCCTCCTCCTCCTCCTCCTCCTCCTCCTCCTCCTCCTCCTCCCCCGACGCCGACAACAATACAGCATGCGCTTCGAAACGAAATCCGGGCCACGCGCAGGCACCCCGCGATCGCTGTGCAGTGGCTTTTGACTGGGACGGCGGAGGCGTTGGCATATTGTTATTTTTTTTATTTTTTTTTTAAAAAAAAAAAAAAAAAAAAAAAAAAAAAAAAAAAAAAAAAAAAAAAAACTGGAACATATCCCTATCCCGATGCTGGGCACCTCATCATCACGATGCCAATCTTAAGGGTTCCCTTATCTTTTGAGGGCGGACCCCTGACCCTGAGAGTGTCATCGCCTTTTGGCGTGTCAATCTTAGGGGTAGGGATACGTTCGAGGCTGGTAAGCTTTGCCGGTATATCGCCGTGTTAGGCACAGGCCTCTTTTGGTGTGTCGGGTCGTGGCGCTTTCGTACGTGATCTTTGTGCGCATTCTGATCTAGGGAAGCGGTGAGATCGCGGCGAACTGACGACGTGCCCATGGTCATGGTTTAGCGTCTGTAAGCGGATATGCGACGGTTGGTATGTGCGTGCGCAAGCAAGCCGGCAGGGAGGGAGGGGAGGCCGGGCGCGCGCGCGCCTTTTCACTTATGAGCAGATGAGTGGCCGCGGAGTTGGCTCAGCCCTTCCGCGTCCATCCCTAGCCCTGCCACCCCCATGTTGAAGGGGATGCGCAGGGCAGCTGAGAGAAGCGAAAGGGGCGCTAATAGCGACCCCCCCCCAGGGCCTCCCGGCGCGACGCTGCCGCGCGCGGGTGGGCGTCAGCACGTCAGCTAACGTCCCGAGCAAAAGAGGCGGGACACACGGCAGGCCCCGAGAGCGCAGGACAGACTTCACCCTTTCCCAAGGGCCACTTCGGGCCCCCCACGGCGCCAGCCCCCAAGGAAGCTTTGAGGGCGCCAGTGGAAGGGAAGGGAGTGCTCCTGTCACCGTTCTATGGGGCTGGCCGAGGGGCTCTCGGCGCGCCCCACTCAGATGAGGCATTCACGCTGGCGCATGCCGCCCAGCCTTCAGCTCAATAGGCAACCAGCCTGCTGAATATCTCGGCGCATTGGCAGTCACGGGGCGCGGTCCCGAAGCATGCGGGGGCAATTCGTGGCGCTGTCCCGACGCCATCCCCCTGCCCCGTCTTCATAGCGCCACTACAAGGGGCCATCGTGCTGTTGACTGTTCCAGCCCTGGTTGCTGTTCCAACGCTGCCAGCTGCTAGACCAGTGGCAGCTGAGATCAGAGCGCCAGGGAGAGCGAGGAGGCGCCGCCCCCGTGGCCCACTCCCGCGCGGCGACCCGCTATTGCCAAGGAGGAGTCGGCGTCTCTCTCGTGGGCGCCCCCGTCAATCGCGCGGCTGAGGGCGCCGCCTCAGTCAAGCGCGCGCCCGTGCATCCACGCCTTGCAATGGTCACGCCAGATCCAGAACTGGAAGCCCCCGTCGATCGAAGCGCGCGCGGGGGGGCCAGTTGCTCAGTTCCAATCTCGTAGGCCCCCAGGCGCGCCGACGCAAAGCAGGTCGATCGGGTGGTGCATGACTCCGCTGCGCTTCGACGCACGGCCATGGCCTCGGCTCCGCCCTGACGCCCGCGCCCTCGCGGAGCGCGACCGATGCGGCGGATGGCGCGACTCGCTGGGGCGCTTGCGGTTTGCAGCAGCCAGCGACCCACCGCCGGCGCAACCGTCAGACGACCGTCCGTCGTCGTCGCCGCCATCGGGGCCCGAGTCTCGAGAGGGGGCCGCTGCGCCTCCAATTCATCCTCCAGTTCTTGCTTCAACTCCTTAAACGTGCGAATATCATGGATCTCGCTGGCCGCGACAGGCCATAGTTCCAATCCCATTGACGGAGAGTCTACACTGGCATCCGCAGGGCCCTGATGACCCCAGTCGAAAGGTTCCAGGATGCCATTCCCACTGCTATCCAAAGGGATTGAACGGCTGATGTGCGGCGACCACACATGAGGTGGCACTACAGGTGCGATTTCTCCGTGACATGTAGCAGGGATTCCTGAAGAATCTTGGCCGCTCTTCCAGCGAATTCCAAGCTGTCGCGTTTTTTCTCGATGGCAATGGTGAATTCCCGGCGGCGCGACGTCAGCCGGTCACGAAGAACACCGTCAGACTGTCATGATGTTATGTAGGAACGCCGTTCTACCTTGCAATGCTCGCCCACGCTGAGGTTGCACTTCCGCGGGTCGGAACCACTTGAGCTCAGCTTTCACGGTTCGTTTGTCGGTCAGGCCGCCCGGAGCGAGTTTCATGACTTTCCAGCGCCGTGGTCGACCAGGGACACTGCCCCCAGCATCCGCATCGACCACTTGCTGGACACATGCGACGCACGGCTTATAAAGAATTAGGAAGTTGTAGTGCAAGCAATGCATCGCACCCAAAAGATTCCTGCATGCGTTGGAACAAGCGGGGCGCCCGTCATCCAAGGGTGCCAGGGCGTCGTTGGCATCGCCCTTCTGGACGAAGACATGCCCGGGATTCACGTAGACGACGCAGCCAGAAATCTAGTTCCGTCGTATCCATGCGCTGTGAAAGCGGCGGTCGTGCACCCAGGTCCACGACGCTGTCGGGGCTGTTGCGTCGGCATCAACTATGCGCATTATTTAACGTACGTCGCCCCATCGGGGGCGAAGCTTCATGAAGAGCGGGCCGTCTGGTCTGACCCGCAAAACGGTCACATCAAACATCCGCGCGGATGCCGTCGCCAGACATTGCCCCGACAACTTGAATGGGCCATCGGCTTCAAAGGCACGCGCGTCAAGGCCTTCTGCCGAGAATGCCCGAAACCACCATTTTAACAAATAAAAAGAAACACATGGGGAACTGGTTCGGTGGGTCGGAAAGGTCCCCAGTCAAGTCCCTCCTCATCTACGAACGCACTTCCGCGCTGGCAGCGCCCTCGCCGGTCTCGACGGCGCTGTCACCGGGGAAACGGAAGCTTCCCAGCTGTGCCGGGATGGCCAATTTGAAGTTGCACTGCCTTTCCCCATTGAGGTCTCGTTCTGGAGCTACCAAACAATCGATCGTAGACTGGGGAATGCTTGGGAGGTGAGGAGGCAATGCCATCGTGGACTGGGGAATGCTTGGGGATGATTGGGAGCCAGTCGTTGGCGTGCCACAATCAAAAGGCTCGCATCGGAGGTCTAACCGCTCCGGGGAAGCCACTCGCAACGAGTTTCCCTGAGTGGCACGGCGAACAATAGGCCGAGCCAACGGCCGTTCAGTGCCTGCCCCGAAAATGGCACCGCCATCGCGGGGTCGCCTTCTCCCAAAGCTGTCGCCCCAGTGTAGTGGCGTAGCGACGGCGGGTTCATCGCCGTCCGCTATCTTTACTCCGAGGACTCGAACCACCCGCCTGCCTGGGCAACGCGCCCAGGGCGCGCAGCAGGCGGGCCCGGGGCCGATCCTGCCATTCCACACGGGGGGCATCGGCCGAATCGCTGGCCTCTACCCAGCCGCCCGAGCTGAGAACGTCTGCTGCGCTGTGCTTGACCACTTCAAGGAGCAAGGCACCCAAACGCACGGTCTCCTCTGCTCAGCGCCACTGCGCCACGCACGGAGGAGACGCTCTAACGATGGAGCCATAAAGACGAGGCTGTGAGCTTTAGAAAGTAGATGGTTCGTTTCCATCGCGTGGTAAAGCGCCCTGAGGAAGTCGCCCGCCGCCGCTCGGCCGGCGCCGCCCATGTCGCGGGGAACTTCCAGGGGCGCATCGCCCGCAACATTCAAATCATCGTTTGTGACCCGGCCCGCAGGGTCATCGCGCGACGAGGAAGGGCGAGCTGGGCGAGGGGCGGGCAGAGCAGGGCCAGCGCTGCGCGCGGCCTCGAGATGTCGCGCAACCGTCGAATCGACCATCAGCATGCCCTCTTCCTCTCCCGCCTGCGTCGTCAGCAGCGGGGTGTCTGGCGCGCGCGCGCGCTCGACTCGATGCGTCTCGCCGCGTGCCCTGATTCCCATTTTCAAGCAACAATCCCCTGGGCCATCTGTCGGAAATCTGCGCGCCCCTCGGTGGATTTGGCGGGGCAGAGAGACGGGGGCGCCCGGGCCCGAACGCCTCGGGCAAGATGTCGGCGCGCACGTTGGCTAGGGTCGGATCTGGAAGGGCGCGCCCCACGACGGGGTTCAGCTCGGGCGGCGGAACTGGAGCCGTAAACGCCGCGGTGACACTGTCGCCGGGAATCGGGCGAGGCGTCCGCCGTTCTCCCGGCATCTCTACGTCCGGCTCCTGTTGAGCCTCCGACTCCCCCTCTTCGCTCTCCCCGGCTCTGCTTCGCCCGCCACAGTTCTTGCAGCGATATGCAAGCGCGCTTCGCGGAGGCGCGCCGCTCTTCGGTCGGCTCCGCCGTTGGCGGGTCCGACGGGCCCTCCTCCGGCGAGCGGGGCCGGGCAGTCGGTTCCCAGCTGCCGACCGAATCTCCCCCCAGGTGCGTCGCGCGACGGCGGCGACGGCCACCGGGCGCGGCCAGGCGCCGCCTTTGCTCAAGCCGGCGGGCTCGGGGGCGTCGGCGTCGACAAATCCTGGGCGCGGACGCGCGCCCCCTCGACTTCGGCCTTGTCCAACGGTATTGCGGTGAAGATTGTCGGCGAGACGCTCTCGGCGCAGCTTTCCCCCCGTCGGGATGCGAAGACGCGTCTCTTTGTTTCGCCTTCCCGCTAGGGGAGGGCCCATGCGTTCTGCGCGCCGTCTTTCGTAAATGTTTCGCTCTTCCGCTGCTATCTTGTCGTCGGGGCTCCGCGCCCGCGCATTTGCCCACTGATAGCATGCTCTCAGATGCGGCGTGCACGTGTCGGTATGCATCGCAGCGGGCGCAATGCATCTGTGGACACACAAAAACGGGAGGCACTGCACCACCCCGTGACACGTCGG